GTATTCGATTTGTCTTTAAAAGGTTGGTTTGAACTTGCCATTTGTTTACAAGATGGCGTCTCAACAGTTTCCAATATGGCGGCTATGGATGGGTCTTGGTGTCTGGCAACGACGTCCAAAAAATCCATGTCATCACTGTTCATCGCGGTAAAAAACACGAGAAAATCAGTCAGAGGCGATGAAACACACTCAACACACCTTGATTACACAAGAACACGTTGTGAAAACCTAACTATTACGAAAGCTGAAAGAAAATGCACAGAAGAAATCGATAACGGGGTGGATTGTCAGTGGTGTTTTCTTCTGACTCTTCTTCCCACGAGTCATCCTCCTCCTCGCCNATATATATATATATAAATTTAAGCATATTTAAAATAGTATAAACAAAAAAAAAAAATATATATATATATATATATATATATATATATATATATATATATATTTAAGGGTATATAAAATAGTATAAATGAAAATATACAAACATATATCCTTATAAATATGTATATCTATATATATTATATCTATTTAAACGAAGTGGCTATTCAGACCCCGCTACCAGAAGTGAGAGGTTGGGATTAAATAATGTTTACATTATTATTGTTTGGTTTGTAGGATAAAATTTGGTATCGAATGAAAGATAATTGAATTGACTATATGTTTTTAAACTTGATTCTTCAATTGAACTAAAATAATCTTCCACAAATGACACCCGAATAGCATTCAGTCTAAAGGGGATTCAAAATGACGCCCCGGAGCGAAATGTGTACAGAAATGTCAAGATAATATACTTAAAAATTAAAAACGACTAAAATGTTATCTTTAAAAGGTTTTTCAAATATTAATACCTGGTGCCTTTTACCGATTGCAATTAGTGCAGTGGTTCTCAACCTGAGGATCGATCGAACGTTGCATAAGGGTCACCTAAGACCATCGGAAAACACATGTTAAGTGGCAACGATAAAAAAAATGTATGATTTGGGGTCATCACAACACAAGGAACTGTATTTAGGGGTCGTGGCATTAGGAAGGTTGAGAAGCGCTGAATTAGTGAAAATATTATGAAATATCGCTACGCTCGATATATTTGATGATCAGTATATTTAAGCCTAATCTTGTTAAAGGTGTGTAATATTCGATTATAAATATCGCACTGGCCCTCCTGATCATAAATCCAAGTCTTACTTCCTGTAGTTCCCATAGATCGGTATTTTAATTCATATATTTTGCAACATCACATGTTTAAAGATTAAAATAACAATGCATTTAATTAATTTTAATCAAAATATCAAGGTTTACAATTCTAAAAATTGTTCTTACTAAGTATCAAACATGCGCAATCTATTTTCAAATTATATCTCATCGTAAAAGCATGACTTTTTCAGTAGGGATAGGTGTTAATTATAGTTTGAATGATGGCATTATTCTTTAAAAAAAAATTATTTGCTTAACTATAAATATAGTCGACACCATTTGTGTTGAGTTATAAAAAATGGAAACTTAAAAAAAAAAACTGAGAGTTCTTTTTAAAAAATTAACAATTGAACAGGCACATACAAAGAGTGCAGATTTCAGCAACTATTATATGGAAAGGGTTTGAGTTTTCTTTTAACGTGCTACTTTTGTAACAATGTTTCCCGATTAACAGAGGTGAACAAAATACGTAGCCGATATTTTTATTATGCCCCATCTATTTGCACTGATTTTTTTTTAAATAATAATTTTTTTTTCTAGATAAAGATCTATCTGAAAATTTGAAAAAAAAAAAAAAAAAAAAAAAAAAGATTTTCGTTAACAAGCATTTCGATGATCTTGTCAATTCTATAAAATGAAATTGTAGGAAGTAGTTTTAGAAACAAAAATCTTCATCCACATTTTTTCAAGTTCAAATAAATGATGTGGATTTGTCTTTTTTTTTTCTTAAAAAAGTGTTTTAAAGTATATCTAAAAAGCACTTTGTAATATATCTGAAAAAAGTTAGAGTATTTTAGAATTAAAAATAAACATTTTAATTAGCTGAATATTGGGAAATATATACTTTATTTGAATACGATTTCCCTTGGATAAAATCACACATTAATTTTAATAAATCTATAATGTCCTTTGTAAAAAAAAAAAACTTAAGTCTTCTTAAAATAGTTTTGTCGTTCATTTACGATTGATAAAAAATGAACAGTTTTCAAAACTCATAAAAAATGTATAGACCTTTCTAATTAAAAGTTGTTTTTTTTTTAAAGTGTTTAGTTCTGGTAGAATTTGGTAGCCTAATTATTATAAGTAT